GGGCACAAAGATGTTTTTTGAAAGAATATATGTACATATTTAGCCATTTGACTCAGTTCTCAACCCAACACATTAAAAAACAGATGCTTTAAAAAATGATCTGTTGGCAAGATGCTTGTTAAAATTTTATCAGTTGAAATATTAAAATTCATTATGAATTAATTAACACATTATACAAAAATAAAATGTTTTTGTTTCATCATTTTACAAAGTACTATAACCAGTGGCGATTAACACTGGGAATTTTGTGTGTCTCGATATGTGTTGCTCAAAAAGAAACTAAATTTATAGGATTACCACTAAATTGATGACATTTTCTGTCTTCACTCTAGAATTCAGTTGGCAGATGTTTTCGAGAACAAAAAATTCCATCTTATTACAAAACATATTAAGCAAGTTTTCCTGCCAGGCATGTCTGACATGATGTTTATTGCCTAGACCAAATCAATCCCTTAATAAGCTATAATATATGCCAGCAAATACATTATTTCATAGTTAGGGAAAGTTGCCACATGAAACAGTAAGTTCTTTGATCTCGCATGCTCTGCTCCTAATGCATCAGAAAAGTGCTACATAATCTCTTAGTCAGTCATCTATTTATACTCATTTAGTCGTAAAACAAAATTATGCTGTGCTAACTGTAAAGATTTAGGCCTGAATGCTACTTTACTTCTGCCTGTGCATACCAGATTATCTGTAAAAACTCGAAAAGAGATTGGCTAGTTGCTAAGATAATAGAGAAAAAGAAAATTTAAATACTTGAAAATACTAGGACAATGAAATGGTTCCAGAAATTAAACAATCATTGTTTATAATATAATCAATTGAATTTGGTGGCTATATCACTAGATAGAAATGACTCCAGTGGCATCAGTATGGAAGGGAAGAGGCTCAGAAAAGACAACAAGGCAACATTCACTGGTCCTCACCAAGACGATGACTACATCCAAGTCAGAGCATCAGAAACATAGTTTTTAAATATGAGATTCCGTTTATCAGAGCTAGCTGTTTCTCAACAATTGCAAAAATTCACATGAACATTGAAGATATCAGTCAGAAAACTAGACAACACTAACTATCTCGTATGTTAAGGAATATAGATTTTTGATGGATGTCAATAGCCAATCATTCCATAAGTATGTGAGAATCTTCAATGTGCAATGCCAGGCTCTGCCAAGATGCCTGTTTTGTAAATGTCTCCTCCACATGTTGGCTTTTCCTTTTGTGGCCGTATCACTCGTCTCTTCTCCATTGCCATCACCTATTTTGTTTCAGTCTCCTTTCACATGCTGGTTCTAACCCCTCTAACTCTCATAAGAGCAGCCCACAACAAAGTCTCACTGTAGGAAAGAAAGATTCAAGCACTTTCAGCTCAACAGTAGACAGATCATCATCTAGAAGTGGGGAACCTGCAGCCTTCCAAGTCACATGACGATGGTGGGGGTCAAGGACGGTTTGTTTTCACATGTCCCTGACACCTCTCCCATTGTTTTGCCACTGTTTAAGCACCAAAAGATGTGAGAAAAGTTTCATATATCTCTGCTGCACCCTTTTAAATAACAGGATTTGTTCTGCAAAATTTGAATTCAATCAAAAGGCTGCACTCAAGGATCCAGAAGGGCACATGTGGCTCCAAGGTCCCCAGTTCTATACGCTGCAGGTCCTTTTGTCTAGGTATCTCTAAACTAAGGCCATGTCTTTTTGCTTTGTTCTCCTTCAGGAGATTAAATTCTGGTGAGTGGGATTAGTATCAGTTCCTGACTCCCTTACAATATGCTCTGTGCTATTTCAAAGAGTGGCTCACATCTATCTGTCTGTTGAAGACTGACATGCAATGCCAAAGTATATAAAGTACTCTCAAAGATCTGGATTATAAGGGGATTTAGTGGAGAGGCATGAAAGATAAATTGGCAATGCTGGTAAAATCATAAGACTAAATACAAGAAATATTGGAGGAGAGCACATGAGAAATTTTGCCGACATTAACTAATAACAATAACTTCTAAGAGTCTTAGTAAGATGAGGTCACTGGTTATGGTGAGAGAAAGAATATAAGGTTAAGCTTATATTAAAGAGCTATGTGACCTTGGGAAAGTTACTAAAAGTTTTTTTTTTTTCCAGAAACCATACAAAAAGGGCCTTAATTAGTTCCACAGGAAGAGGCACAGGAAGGGACATGACAGCTCCCGTCTCTGGGACAGTAGACACAGACTCAGTTGCCACCCTCCAAAAGCTAAAAGTTTTTGACCCATAGTCTCCTCATCTGTAAACCTGAGACAATATCAGTGATACTATTAAAAAAGAATATACATAAACACACACACATATATAAATTGTTTATGAACAAGTTAGTGTCTATTAAGTGTCAATTGGTTAAAAATCTTTGTCACTGTCAGATGTAGTTTGCTATATCGTATCATACTTTTACTGTATGTGATTTAATTTCATATTTCAGAGACGTTTTGTTTTCAATCTATAGACTACAGTGGTGAAGAAGAAACAGGACAAACATCAACAGTAATTCAAAGTCTAGTTTCAACACTTAGTTATCCCACTTACTAGCTGTGAGATCTTAGACAAACATCTGTACATCAGTTTCCTTCAGTATAAAATAAGAATAAAATGCTGTGTTCTACCTATATATTAGGCCATAGCAAAGAACAGATGATAATTTCAAAATGCTAGTAAGTACATAAATAAAAGTTAATTTAGCTATAATACATACCATACCTTATGTCTCAAAATTACAAACACTTGTTCTTTGGAGATAGTAGGGAAGAGAGTACAAGAAGTCTTTTCTTGAGTAGATCAAAACTACTTCAGAATCAATGCTCCTCCCCAAAACGAACCATATGGTTTCCCATGGCAGTACCAAGCCTTACTGACTAAAAGTATGTTTGGACAATGTCATCATAGCTCTGTTATTTTACACAATTTTAAAGATTTTTAAAAGAGATGGTATTTATTTAGAAAAATGATTTCATAATTAAGACTATCAGATACAACGTTGTGTTATCCATGTGAGTCCACTTTTGTCTCCCAGTGCTTTCAATGGGAAAGGAGACTGATTAAGTGAAATGGAATGGCAAAAAAACTTAAGAAAGAGAAGTAAAAATAACAAAGAAAAAGAAACAGAGAATTAAGGAAAAAACAATAAAGGAAGAGAGAGCATGTCTTAGTGATGCAATACAAAAACGATATTTTTTCCCTTGGCATAAGAAAAGATAGATGCAGGGATAAAGGAAGCAGATGTGAAAAGCAGAATAATGGAAATACACACACACAAGGGGATAAAAGAAAAAAATCAAAGCAATGGTGACAAGATCAAGAAAAAACAGAAAGGAGGAAATAAATCTATGAGACAGATAGATGCTTACTCAATCTGTGCATGTCGTAGGCAAAAAAAAGAAACTTTAAGAAGAAATTAAAAAAATACATAAAATCACTTTTTGCTTTACATTTTACAGTTACACGTAAATACTCTTCATGTGTATTTAAAAAACCTTACACAGTTAATTCCTGGAATCAGGATACCAGAGGTAATTTTAAAACCCTGTCATAGGACGGTAGGTGACAGATTGGATCATATACATATGTGTAGAAGGAAGGTTAGGACAACTGACAAAGAAGGAGGTAACATGACGACCCTGAAGTGGTCACACACAAGAAAGGGGGGAATACAACCACCTTGGAATAAACAAGCTACTTACTGATTGCAAATCCAATAACTGCTTTTGGTTTTCAAATAATACATTCAATAGAGAGATGCTTTTTAGAAATTTAAATATTATAATCTGCCTAACTTTTGTTTGACTCATTGTATGAAGTGCTTTGGGTGTTCTTGGGTAGGATACTATTTTGGGGGGGTCTTGAGAATTTATATGTTATGTGACTGCTTAACTGTTATAACTTAATAGACTGACCTCTAATCATTGTCTTAAATGTCTGAAATAGGATTCTAAAAAGTAGAGCAATTATGCCATGGACTGGGAGTATAATACAGAGAATAAAAACTTAGAAAGCAATGTATTTCTCTTCAAAGTCCATGTTAAGTATTTAATTAATGATCTTTTAAAGTAAATGTAGAAATAGCTCAAGTTGAATAATCTGAAATGTTTTTTACTATTTTACTATACATGTATTTTACTATAATGTTACTATAACATTTTACTATAAATGTTTTTTACTATTAATCTACAGTGTAATTTATAAAATGTTAATTTATGTTTAAATGTTCAGATTAAATTAAAAGTCCAGCATCCATAATAAGGGCTTAGAAAACTACAAAAATGTCCCACATATAATGCACAGAGTGTCTACCCAGCAGACTGTGTTAAAGTGCAAATAACACTGCTGTGCCCTTCAGACCCAGAGACCCCTGGGCAGCACTGCTATGTCAACCCCATGCTACAGCCACTACAGAGTTGCACTATAATGTGTGGAAGTTTCCCTGGGTGGGACGAGTGAGAAGGAAGGAGTTCCTTCATTACACTATCACTGAACTAGTTTAGCTTCAATATTTATTAAGATATTAATTACCCGGTCCGACTTCAGAAGTTAGGCTGAGACACCATGTATGGACGGTTGCTTATAGGAAAACCATGCATTATCCAAGAAAACCGACCACCCACGATGAGGAACATTTTGCACACTGCATTATTATTTCAGCAAGGACTATGTTTGGAGTTATTAGGCTGCATGTAATCTCTCAATAGTATGTTGGGGAACTGGATTGGAAAGTTTTCTTTTTTCTGAATATATCATAATAAAATTATTTTAGAAAATTTTCCTTGAATTAGTATATAACACAAGAAGAAATGACATGACATTTGCATTTGAGACTTCCTATGAAGTGTCACACTGAAATAAGAATGATGTGTTTTGCACTTTTAAATAAAAAACCAAAAAGAATACTTTCTTAAAAAAACAAAAATATTTATATGAAATAAAATCTAAATAAAGCAAAAGAAGCAGCGAAGGAAAGCAGTGATCTCACTTACTCTGATATACAACTGCATCATTTCTTTCTCTCTTTGGGGGTTACGGTACTTTTCATAGAAATCGCGTCGCTTCTTTGTTTCTTTAGAAACTTTATCTTTTCTTTCTCGTTTTTCTGATGGTTCATCTGAACTATCAGAAGATGACTGCACATGTGTCTTTGGCTTTTCCACTTCAATATAGTTTTCATTAGGATTCAGTACTATGACTCCATAGCCTTCCTGTTTTGAAATGAAGAAGGTGGCATAATTTAAGCTTTGAATCTATTTCAATTTACAAAAAAAATTTTGTAAAATCTCAGACCACTTTAATATAGTTGCACATCCACTAAAATATTCTTTTAGGAATAATTATGGTTTTAATTTTTCCAAAAGAACGTTATTTAAAATTGCTTGCCTTTATTGTGTATGTAAATAATCACATATTAGCTATAAGAACAAAAAACTGAATTATAATACAAACTTTATACAGTTTAAATATAAAAAGTATAATTCATATCTCCCTGAACCTCAAAAATGATTGAAATAAATTATAAAATAACAAGTATACTTTCAAACCACATTAAAATTTATAATACACATTTTCAGAAAGTAACAGTTAAAATTGAAGTTCACAATTCAAACTACATTTTCTTGGAATTTTTCCTTTACAATTGCCCTTTAATAAGCATTTTTATTTGTTTGAACAAATAAGCAATTAAAAAGAAATCTAACATTCTGCAACCTTACGTATCTATATTACATATCTATATGTAATATCTTACATATCTATATTATCGGGAACATATAATATCTTTGCACCTTGGATTTTATTCACCTCATTTCTTTCAGGAGAACAGACAAATCGTAAAAGAGAACAAAGCACAGTTGTACTATAATGTATGGAAGCAACTCTTTAATCTTGAAATTTCTTTTTCCAAACTACCACACAATTTCTCTTTATTAAAAACTAGGACCAGGGAACAAGTAAGAAAGTTAACAAATATAGTTTATTGTGCTATTTCAGGCTTTTTTTTTTAAGTTTGTAAAAACATATGTCTTCCTGTCTGACTTATCTCTAGCAAGGCAAATATTTCTATGATTATAATTTAAGGAAACTTTTTATATTTATATTATAACTGATGGACTAACTTAACCATGAGAAACTAGAGGATAAACAATAACCACTGACAAGCAAGTGCAACAAAAATTTTTGATGCTATTATATATCCTGTCTTTCAATTGAACTCTGTATTGTGGGTGTCCTAATTACCCTTGTAAAACACTTTAAGGTCACATTTAAAAGATGTGCTGTATTAGAATAAAAGCGTAAGTGCTATAGAAATAAAAGTTATAAAATTACATTCTTAAAAAGGGTACTATTTTTTTCAAGAGTTTACAGACTCTTGAAAGTTGAAATTTAGAATTTATTTTTTTGACAAACCAATAATCAGATGATTTTTAGAAACTGCTAGCAGTAATAATAAACCAGCATTAGCATGGACTCAATTATCTTATTTTAAAATACCCTGCACCGCTGCTCATGTTTGGTCTGCTTACAGTTGATTTCACAGGCTACTTACAAACTTCGTGGGGATTGGTTCAATTTTTACTCCCAAGCAAATGATATTATAAACTAAAACAAATAATATTCAAGATCATTAAAGTTCTGATTTTAGTGACAAGACTATTAATTAAGATATAGTCATCCTGCATACGTGAAAACTAGATAATAATATATAGCAAACACAATACATTCTTTAACAGATGTTCAAATAAAACTTTCAAATAATCTCTCTTCCATGATAGTCTTATAAAACAGTTTACCAATTTTTAAATTTAAACATTCTACATCAAAGCATAAGAGGAGATTTTTATTTAATGTTTTTTAGCTGGTAAGTCCAAAGTTTTACCAACAAAGGATATTTTATTTTGTTCTGCTTTATTCCAATCTGTATAGCTATTCAAAAGTCTTGTAATTCATTGTGATCACTGTCAGGTAGACAGATTGTCACTTGGTGATTTTCTACAGTTGGACACACTTGACTAGTTATTAAAATCACATTTGAATCAAGTTCCTACCCTTCTCCCTTGTGCCCCTTACAACTTTTCACGCCCTTCTCAAATTTCAGCCATAACTTCTCCTCCCACCAAAAGTAAGTTAAAGAACACTGTTGCACTCTGCTAAACAGGGTGAAATAGAGGCATTCAGTACACTGTCTTTGGTATGAGAAACATAGTCTAAAAGGTCACCAGAGGCCAAAAAGAAAATTGCCTCCTTACTAGATTCTGTACTGTGAGTAAGTAGTCTCCTGTCATGTTTCTTCCCTGCCTTCTCAGAGTGAACTAAACTTTAAACACACACACACACATGTGCTTATGCTCACACAGAGTTAGCAAACCTAAAATAGAATCATGTAATTCTTGGAGATGAAAATAGTGATATACTACATTTTGAAAATAATATGGAAAATTTCAAACTCAAGGTAACAAGTGTGACTTCAATAAACTGATATCATATGAGCATCTTCTTTGCACTATGAATTTTAAAAAAGGTAAACTTTGTTTGAGCAAAATTTACAGTCACCAGAATTACAAAACTATTATCTCAACTTAATCAGTAGAAACAATATTGTCATCATATCAGGCTTATTTGAGCAATATTTTTATCTTCAAGTTTTAGAAATCACAGATTGGAAAATTATTGTGCCTACTTCTGAATACACTCTGAATTTTGATGTGTCCATCTACATAAGTATAACAATGGACACATATAACTCATCAAAGAAGCAGTATTTGTCTAAGTTATTGATTATGTAACTGAAAAGTATATGACTCATTCGTTCAATTTTACAAAGACACAATGTCAATTTTCCACTTAGGCATCAACTGATGAAAAATGATTCTATTTTTAAGTCATCATTATTTAAATCAACTAAAGAATTTTTATGATTTAGATCTCAACAATGAATGTTTCTCTTTTAACATCTGAACTATTTAGAAAATGTTTTATCCTTTAGGATTTCAGATTGCCAACTTAATTAATGTAACAACAATCAAGAAACATTCAGGAACGTTTTCTGCAGAAATGGGAGCTCATTTTAATAAATATCTTTGTTGCTAATTCCATTACCATTCTGTAAAAACTTAACATTTTTCAATTAAAATTTTTCTGATAAATTAATTAATGCAATATTCGCAAAGCCTATTGAAAACATGTGATAATGGGTAGAAAAAGTAGGAGCAACAAAATACAGTGAACATCCCGTCTATGTGCTCTGACCACAGACACCGCAAACTTCATCCTTTCCTTCTGTCCTCTGTCATATAGCACGTCGTCATGAAAATCCCTTTACGCTACAAAGCTTTTTGCCATATTAACATTAATGTATGGGAACAGTGGAGTCAAAGCAGCTTAGCTTTACTAAGCTGGGACAAAATATCAGTTGTTCAATTTAACTGTTTTCAACAAATAATATCAACTTACTTTAAAAATCAAAATAAATGCCATTTTAAAAAGTGATTATTTTTATTCCTAGTAACTCGATCAGCACACAACAAAATAACAGATGTTAGTGTGACCTTTAATGACTCTATCCACAAGTTTCCTAAGGTTAGGAAACTACACTATACAAGATATCAAGAGAGAATATAGTCAAAGATAACTACGAGATATCAAATAGAATATAGTAAAAGAACTATGTATTGCTACTCTAATAAAGAAGCCTCCATCTTAAACATTTTATGTTGAAGTATTCCTTTCGCATTTAGTTATTTCTTAAGTGTGTTAAATTTCTCATAAGATAAAAAGTTAGTTCATTTCAAATACACATGGAAACCTCTCCCGTTACCTATAAAAAGATAAAATGATTAAAGTAATTATCTAACATTCTCCAACTAAACAAATAAAACTTCTGGTATCTTTTATAATGATTTACCAAATCAATTCCAATACCCAACATTTCAAGAGACAAAGCTCACATGAAGTTGTTAATTAACTCTATGCATCACACAGTCCAGGAGAAGACCAAGACGGTGATCCCCAGCACAGATGCTGGGCAAAGGCAGCTTTATCTCTTCAGCTCATCTCATTCCACTTTCTATGCTTTCGTAGCTATAACTGTAGCTTCACTTTCATACCTGTGTTTATATAAGTTAAACTATGAAACCTTAATCAGAAACCCTCAAAAGTTTACCACTAGACACAGCATTGTATTCAGCAGAAATCCTTGTGATCTGAATGGAAGATACAGGCCTCCAGGCCTTTTTTACTTTGAAGTCTATAGATGTACTTACTAACAAATAATCTGTCATTTGTCATTCAATCAACAAATGATGGCTTAGGTCAGAGAGGTCTAAAACGGACAGGTTGATGCCAAAAACAAAGAGGAAGCCTTGCTAGAAAAATTAAATGAGTACATATAAGTACTGATCAAAAAGATTCTGCAAATAGATAGAATTAAAAATTGCCGGACCCAAACCAGACTATACTTTTGGCTCCTAATGAAAACTTGCTAAAACTGAAGATTTATCCAAGTTAATGTGCCTACTAATTACCCTTTATAAAGAAAATGGAAAATAGGAGTTAATTCTACATTTCTTCAAATATCTTGTGGTTAGCTAAAAAAAGAATCAGCTAAAAGTACTCATCTCTTACAGTACTGCTAGGATATTACCCTACCAATACTGCAAGCCACATGTGACCAAAGAGGTCAAGGGTCAGAGTAGAATCCTTTGACCTATGGGACTATCTGTTTTGGTCTTTAGGCAAAGCTCTGTAAAAGATCATTTGACACAAATTTATCAGTTACATTGCTCAAGTTCAGCATTCTGTCTGCTTGGTTTGAAAGAAGATAGGTGTCATCCTCAAGGGAAATGATGCCCAAAGTATTTTACCTACAAGCTACATCTTCCCACGGACAAACCACTATCCATTCATCTTTTCTGAAAGATGTATGATGTGTTTATTCTCATTTTTTTTTTTTCACAAGAAGCATATGTATACGTCAGCGTTGCACCATCTGAGGTGCGGCAGTGGGACGGGGTCATGACAACCAATCAGAAGTCCCCGGTGAAGCGTTAAGCTCGCATAGCTGTTGGAGCTGCAGCTCAGCTTGGGAAATGCCCCCTCCATTATTTCAGTAATTTTCTCAAGACGTGACCTGTAACTGAAAAGCCTGAAATGACACTGGACTCCGTCTTGTGTTTCTTCTCAATGTGCACTTAGGTAACAGCACAGTCCT